AGCAGCAGCAGCAGCAGCAGCAGCAGCAGCAGCAGCAGCAGCAGCAGCAGCAGCAGCAGCAGCAGCACACGCACGCACAGAGAGCTCGAGTTGTTGTGCATGCAGCTTCTTCTCTTTATTTAAATTATTTCGAAGACTTTTCGTTTCTGAACTTTAGGGGCGCGCAGGTGTACGTACACCTCAGAAGGCTGCATGCACTCTCGCCCGCCGCCGGGGATTAACTCTCAACACTTTTGTGAATATTATTATTATTATTATTATTATTATTATTATTATTATTAATATTATTATTGTTATTAATATTATTATTATTATCAAATATTATTATTACTTGTTATTATTGTGCATATTATTGCCATGATGGCTATTCTTTGTTCTTTGGGTTTGGCTCCCGTCACTTTGATTCATTATTATAATCATTAATGTTATAATAACAATAAGAATAATAACAATAAGAATAATAATAATAAATAATAAATAATAATAATAATAATAATAATAATAATAATAATGATAATAATAAAATTAAAGTAAATGTAATAACAAAACAAATTAATAACAACAACAATAATAACAACAATAAAACAACAACAACAACAATAATAATAAAAACAAAAATGGCAAAAAGTGGCAAATAAAAATAAAAGTAAATGTAATAACAACAACAAAATAATAACAACAATAAAATAACAACAACAACAAAATAATAACAACAATAAAATAATAATGACAACAATAAAATAATAATAATAACAATAAAATAGTAATAACAACAATAAAATAATAAAAACAAAAACAAAATAATAAAAACAAAAACAAAATAATAAAAACAAAAACAAAATAATAAAAACAAAAGTGGCAAAAATGGCAAAAAGTGCTCACGAAAGAACTGCGGAGTTGGGCTGCAGCGGCGGCGAATAGCTGCAGAAGAAAACGTCTTGGGGGCAGCCAGCAGTGGCCGCACATCCCAAAAAAGAAACTTTTTCAGAAATGATGAGAGCCAACTTGTTGGCCTTTTGGGAGTCCCAGGGAAAGCTGGGAAGTTGGGGTGTACGTACACCTGGAGGCCCGCGCCGCGCGGCTTTTCTGCAGCGCAGTTTGCACTTCATTTCGAGTCTTTTGGCTTCGAAACTTCGCGAAAATCTCGCTTTTATTTTATTTTTTGTTTTTATTTTTTTATTTTATTTCCACTCACTCTAATTCGTCCAGCCCGTCCAGAAACACGAAACTCAGACCCTCGCACCCCTCCCCGGTCTTGTGGGCCATCAGCTCGCTGCTCTGCAGCGCAGCAGCAGCAGCAGCAGCAGCAGCAGCAGCAGCAGCAGCAGCAAGTGGAGTTTTTGCTCGTTTTTTTTCGAATTTGAAGGGAGCTGGGCAGCAGCTGCGGGAGCAGCAGCAGCAGCAGCAAAAGTGCAGCAGCAGCAGCAGCAAAAGTCGAAAAAGTTGCTTTTTTTCTCACTTCTTCCACTTTGGAAGCTTCCGAAACTGCACATTTGCTGCGGATGTACTCCCGAGCTTTGCTGCGGGCCTTTTCGGCCAAAGAGTCGTCAGCAGCAACTGGCGCTGCCCAGGTGTCTAGACGGGCCGTTCTTATTTTGTTGTGCGCCAAAACGCAATCTGTTCATCACAAAACACTTTTTTATTTCTGCTTTTTATCCGCATTTAAATCATTCTTTTTCTGCTTTTTATCCGCATTTAAATCATTCTTTTTCTGCTTTTTATTCGCATTCAAATCATTCTTTTTCTGCTTTTTATCCGCATTTAAATTGTTCTTTTTCTGCTTTCTATTCGCTTTTAAATTGTTCTTTTTCTGCTTTTTATTCGCTTTTAAATTGTTCTTTTTCTGCTTTTTATTCGCTTTTAAATTCCAGTTTTTTCCGCATTTTATTCACATTTATAACGCAATCTGTTCATCACAAAACACCTTTTTAATTCCCTTTTTTCTGCACTTTATTCCCATTTAAACCTCTTCTTTTCTGCATTTTATTTTCATTAAAACCCCCTTCTTTTCTGCATTTTATTCTCATTTAAATCCCACTTTTTCTGCGTTTTATTCTTTTTTAAATCTCCTTCTTTTCTGCATTTTATTATTTTCTTTTTCCACTTTCTGGCCCCGCATTTCTTTCAAAAAGAAGCTCTTAGTGTGAACTTTATTTTATTTTTTCGTGGCTAATAAATGCATTTTTGGGGACTTTTTTGGGACTTTTGAAATGCAAAAGATGAATTAAAATCCCGCAAAAAGGGACTTTATTTCCGGACAAACTTTGCACAAATCTGCTTCTCTTAATCTGCAGCAAAAGGACAAACTTTGCTTCTTTTTAAAAAAAAAAATTCTTTTTTTTTTTTTTTTTTTAATTTCTTACGGGCTGTTATTTCCTCCACGTGAGGAGCTCCTGCTGCTGCTGCAGCTTCGCCGTGGGGCTCGTGGGGGGCCACTGCCTGCATGCGCGGCGGCTCATGAGTTGCTGCTGCTGCTGCTGCTGCTGCATTTTCAGTGGCCTGCTGCTGCTGCTGCTGCTGCTGCTGCTGCTGTGCTGCTGCTGCTGCTGCTGCTGTTCTGCTGCACCTGGTGCTTCTGCTGCTGCCGCTCCGGCTGACTGGGTGGCTGCGCTGGGGGCTGCGGCTTCAGTCTGCTGCTGCGGAGGCTGCTGCTGCTGCTGCTGCTGCTGCTGCTGCTGCTGCTGCTGCTGCTGCTCTGGCTTGGGTGCAGCAACACTTGAGGCCTCTGTTGCAGAATGTTCTTCTGCTGTTGCCTCCGCCTCTCCGCCGCCCTCTGCTGCCGCCTCGGACTTGGACTCGGAGGCGCCTTCAGCAGCAGCTTGCTGCTGCTGCTGCTGCTGCTGCTGCTGCTGCTGCTGCTCAGCTGCTGCTGCTTGGGAGGCCCCCTCCTGCTGCGAGCCCGCAGCACTTGGCTCTTCTTCTTCTTTGCTAGAACTTGCCTCTGGCTCTTCTGCGTTGCTGCTGCTGTCTGCTTCGGGCTCTGCGTCAGTTTGGCTGCGGGTCTGGAAGAAGGAAGGTGTTTGCTGCTGCAGTTGCTGCTGCAGCGGGAGCAGCGGCCGGCCCTCCGCAGCAGTGGACCAGTGGACCACTGCAGCAGCAGCAGCAGCAGCAGCAGACAGCAGCAAAAAGCGCCGTTCGAATTTCATTTTGGCGGCCAAATTCCCCGGAGATCACCCGCGGACGACTCGCCAGCCCCCGCGAAGAAAGAAGAAGGCGCGGGTGGGAAAGCGCGGGCAAAAGGGCTTTAAAGCTGGTTTAAAGACTCAAATACTTTATTAAAAATAAAAAAGGTTTAAATTAGTTTTTTTTTGAATGTTTTACTGCATTTACTCGCCACAAACAGCCAGCTTTCCGCGCGCTGTCAACAAGCCCGGTGTGCCGGCGGCCGACGCTGCTGCGGCGAACTTCGATTTTCGTGCAAGTTCTGCAGCTTCGGCTGGCGCGAACTAAGGCTTTTAAATTTGCAAATTATTTAAAATTAAATAATCAAATAATAAATAGTTCTGAGGGCTTCATCGGACCGCCGATCTGTACAGACACCACTGGGCGCCAATGGCTTGGCCTTCTAGACAGACAGGCGCGGCGGGCGCCATCAAGAAAGCGGCTTTTAGCCCAAGATCTGCCTTTTCAGGAAACTTCTTCAGGTCTATATCCTTTAAAAATACTTTATTGTTTATATTCGCCACAATTTGCTCGAGTTTCCCCGTCCAAAGCGCAGCATGGTCGAGGTTTCCACTTTCGTTCTCAGCTGTCTGTACACCTCGCCCGCTGCGCAGCCTCTGCCTATTTCACTTCAGCTTCGGCTCCGTCTTTAGCGTGAAATAAAATGCTAAAAAGGCTAAGACTTTTATTTCTTAGTTCTAGACAGGATAAGAAGCACGAAGAGGTCGTTTTCTGTCCCATTTTCTGAATATTGCAACTAGTGGCGCCGGTGCGTAATGCACGGGATTTCGAAGTACTTGTGAGCCTAGAAGGCAGCCAAATGTAAATTCAACACTAAATCCAGAAATAAAACTGCCTATCTTCAGCAGAAGACCAGTTAATGGAGCCAAAGAGTGAATTCAGTGCAAGTCGTTGCCAGAGGCACCTTGCAGTGTACGTACACCAGAAGAGCCGCGCTTTGAGCGGTTGACGGAAGAAGAGCAAATTCAGCCCCATTTGATGAAAAAAAGAAATAATAAAACAATAATATTCACTAAATATCTTGCTGCAAAACTCGGGGCTACGAATGGACAGAGACGAGGCAAGAAAGGCTCAATGCGGATTTCCGTTTCGTTTCCACTTGCTGAGGTGTACAGACACCTGAGGTGCTCCCTGTCCTTGTGCCGCAACCAAACAAAAACACTTTGGGAGTTTCTCTCTGCTAAATAATTCAGGCGAATAATTTGCAAATAAAAGCGCGAAACTCCCGAACTAAAATAAAATTCAAAAACTTGAAAAGATTGAAACATCAGGTCAAAAGCTCTTCTGTATTTGTTTTAGTTTCCTTTCGGTTTTGTTTTGAGGATTCAGCCCCTGAAGAAATGCAAAAGGGCATGAACAGCAAAGCTTTTACTTTTTGTTGAATGATTTTAATTGTTTTATCTTTCCACTTCTCTCTGACCTTTGTCTTCAAAAAAATAAAAACAATTCATTTAATGGAACTTTTTTACCGGACTTGAGGGACTCGATCTTTTCCATATCCGCGACTTTGAGGGTTTCAGGTGTACATACACCTCAATCGCCGCTCCTTTTGAGCAAAGTTGAGAAACGAAAATGCAGTGAAGTCCCAAGGTGTACGTACACCCCGAATAGAACACACTGCACGAGGACTTTCTATTTAGGCCCAAACACTTCAAAAGCATTTCTGTACTATTTCCAGAATTGTTCAGGACTTGTGTTGAAGTACTTTAGATCTGTTTGCAAAGAAGCAACGGGGTTTAGAGCCCAGGGCTCGGGGGGAAGTTCAGAATTCACGAAATTGAACTTAGAATTAAAAATCTTCTTTTTAAAAGGAATATTTCTGTTTTAGATGCCTCATTTTGCATAAAGAAGGAAACCCAGCTTTTATTTTTGTGCGGCGCAGCAATTTGCAAAAAAACGAATCCGTGCGCCTGCGCAATTCAGGTGTACGTACACCTCGCCGCTTGCGCCGCGAAAGTCTTTCAAGGAAACTGCCTTTAAATGCCTCTTTCTCTATTTCTAGTGTACATGAATTCACGAGAAATGCAGATTTAAAATAATTCAAAAAGGAAAACTGCGAAATGCACATTCAAGCCGGCTCTTGCGTGTCAGTGCGTTTCCGAAAAACTTGCAAAAGGCAGGTGGGGGCCGGCGGGCGCAAATGCGGAAGTATTTAAAGCAAATTGAACTTGAAAAAGAAAAAAAAAGTCCATTATAATTTATTTAATTGAATATATTTATGTTTTCCCGAAGATTCAAAAGCTGCGGGCTGTGTGTCAGTAGGCCAGGCAGCGGCACGCCCAGGTGTACGTACACCCGAACGCAAAATTAAAAAAAGTGCCAAGTAACGCGGGAGACGCAGAGCGACGAAAATAAAAAACGGATTTTCAAATAAATATATAAATAAATAAAATGGAAATAAAAGAAACGAATTAAAAGTAAAACTGCAGCAAAAGCTCAGACTGCTGCAGCAGTTTGGCAGCTTGCTGCGCGTCTCCGTCGTAGCTGAAAAGTGTTTTAATTTTTGATTTATTCAAAATAAAAAAAATCCAAAAAAAGGAATTAAAATGAAAGAACTGAATAGACGGCCATTCTATTTATTAGCATTTGCACTCTATTGGATTTCAAATATTCAAGTTTTGAAAAAAAGGAAAAATCCGCGTTTGCGGCTGAGACAAAACTCAGTAAAGAAAAATAAATTAAAAGAAATGAAATAGAAAACTCAGAACTCGTTTGTTTCTGTCTCGCACGTTCTCCCGTCCGTACCGAGGGGGTAAACCCCAACCCCCAAACCCTAAACCCTAAACCCTAAACCCTAAACCCTAAACCCTAGAGAAGGCGGGCAGTTGGCCGCTGCTTCTGTTTGGGGTTTTTTTGCGTGTTTTGCTTTGCTGCTTTCTGTCTGTGTCGGTCTCTGCGCAGCCCGTTGCTGCAGAACTTGGAAAAAAGAAATACTTTTGAATGAATTAAAAAGATATTTTGAAGTTTTAAACTCCACTCTAAACCCTAGCCCGCAGCCGCTGCAGTTTTGGCCCGGCCTTTAGGTGCAGCGGGCGTGCGTTTCAAGTGTTGGTGGTTTCTACTGTGGCAGCAGCAGCAGCAGCAGCAGCAGCAGCAGCAGCAGCAGCAGCAGCAGCAGCAGCAGCAGCAGCAGCAAGCAGCAGCAGCAGCAGCAGCAGCAGCAGCAGCAGCAGCAGCAGCAGCAGCAGCAGCAGCAGCAGCAGCAGGTGCTGCTGCTGCTGCTGCTGCTGCTGCTGCTGCGGCGGCGCGCGTTAGAAAGGGGCAGGTGGAGGCGGCGTCGGGGCTGCAGAGGCGGGCGGGAGGGGGCGGGTTTGCATGCGTTGGGGTGTACGTACAGCTGGGCGGCGCGCGTGCATGCGCTCGAGTTGCGGAAGTGGAAAGGCAGTTGAAAAGAAAGCCGGGGCGCCCGGGGGAAGACAGGCGGGAGGCGCGGCTGGGGCGTTTGGAGAGAGGCGGAAGAAGCAGAAAAAAGGAAAAGTTTGGAAAAAGAAATGAAAAGAAGAAAGAGAAGATCTATTCGGCGGCGGCGGCGCGAGGTGTCGGTACACCCCGCGGGCGTAGGCCGCACGGCGGCTTCCTGCGTGTGTTTCAGTTCGTTTCAGTGGCGGCGATCTGCATTTTTTGTTTTGCGTTTTATTGTTCGGACTTGGCCTTTAAAAAGAACTCATTTTGGACAAACTTTGGCGCGAAAATGGCCTTTTGAATTTTTAATTAGCCCGCGCTTTCCCGAACTTGAACTGGCGATTAGACATGCAACTCCCTGGCGCCAGCAGCACTTGAGGTGTACACGCAGCTCGAGACTGGATCCTTTGCAGAACTCGCCTCCCTTTTGACATTTTCTTCTCATTTATATCTTTGGCGAAGTCCTTCTGCGCTGCTGCTGCTGCTGCTGCGCCTGCTGCTGCTGCTGCTGCTGCGCCTGCTGCTGCTGCTGCTGCTTTCCACTGACTCGTGCTGCAGCGCCGCCACCTGCTGCTGCCTTTAGCTCTTTTCAATTCTCCCGGATCTTTCCTTTCTTCTTTCCAGTTGTCTCTCGGCCTTTTCGCAACTTGGAATCCCGCGGCCTCGCCCGGGCCGCCGCGGCGCCTGCTGCTGCTGCTGCTGCTGCTGCTGCTGCTGCTGCTGCTGCTGCTGCTGCGCCTCCCGGCTTTCCCCGCCGCCCCCGCCCAACGCGCCCCTCCTGGCCCTCCGCCGCTGCGGCCCGCGCTGCTGCTGCCGCCCGCCGCTGCTGCTGCTGCTGCTGCTGCTGCTCCGGCCCCGCTGCTGCTGCGCCCCTGCTGCTGCTGCCCGGCCTCCTGCTGCTCCTGCAGGCCTCGCCCCCTCCCCAGCAGCAGCCCCACCGGCCCCGCTGCTGCTGCTGCTGCTGCTGCGCTCCTGCTGCTGCAGCAGCTGCTGCTCCCCTCCTGGCGGCGCGCAGGATGCCCACAGCCATTTGAGACAGGGCTGCTTCTAAGGTGCTCCGCCGTCCTGTCCCTCTTGCTGCTGCTGCTGCTTCCGCCGCTCCAGCTGCTGCTGCTCCTGCTGCTGCTGCTGCTGCTGCTGCTTCAACAGCAACGAAGCAACGCACTTCCTGCTGCTGCAGCGCCGCAGCCTCGCCGGACCGCCGCAGCACCTCCTCCGGTGTACGTACGTACACCGCGGCTCACCGCGCGCAGCAGCAGCAGCAGCAGCAGCAGCGCAGCAGCAGCAGCAGCAGCAGGGGCGCGGGCAGCCCAAGTAGCAGCAGCTGAGGGACTTTGAATTTTTTCTGTGGCTGTAGATCTGTCTGTCCGTTTTTGCTTCCTGTTTCTGTGGCTGCTGCTGCTGCTGCTGCCTTGGGCGGGCTGCAGGTGGCCTCCGACTTGACGAGCTTTTTCTTCGCCGCAGCAGCAGCAGCAGCAGCGCAGCAGCAGCGCAGCAGCAGCGCAGCAGCAGCGCAGCAGCAGCATGTCCGACCCTCAGGGCGGGCCTGGGGGAGCGCCTGGGGGCGCTCCCCAGCAGCAGCGCGGCGCGGGGGCTCCTTCGCTGCCGCCTGCTCAGCAGCAGCAGCAGCAGCAGCAGCAGCAGCAGGCGAGCAGCAGCAGCAGCAGCAGCAGAGACAACAAAAGAAGCAGCAGCAGACAACCCCACAAGTCGTATGATATGGGCCAAGTGCTGGGCAATGGCTCTTTCGGAGTTGTCACTGAGGCGCGCTGTCTCGAGACTGGCGAGCTGGTGGCCATCAAGAAAGTGCTGCAGGTCCGCCTCCTGCTGCTGCTGCTGCTGCTGCTGCTGCTGCTGCTGCTGCTGCTGCTGCTGCTGCTGCTGGTGGTGGTTCTGTTCTTGGCGCGTGTTTGCCGTTGCTGCTGCTGCTGCTGCGTGCGCGGCGCGCGGTGTCGCGCCTTGGCGGCGGCGTGCTGCAGCCGAGCTGCTGCTGCTGCTGCTGCTGCTGCTTCCCCCCCGCAGCAGCAGCAGCAGCAGCAGCAGCAGCAGGGTGTGCGTGCAGGACCCGCGTTACAAGAACCGGGAGCTGGACATAATGAAGGAGCTGCACCACCCGAACATCGTGCGGCTGCTGGACTACTTTTACACGGAGGTGGAGGAAGACAGCAGCAGCAGCAGCAGCAGCAGCAGCAGCAGCAGCAGCAGCAGGTTTTTGAACGTGGTGATGGAGTTCGTGCCCGAAACTGTCTACAGAGTCCTCAAGACCTTCGTCCGCAGCAGCAATCCCCTCCCCTTTCTCTTAGTCAAACTCTACACTTATCAAATCTGCAGGTCTTTGGGTTATTTGCATGCACTTGGCATTTGCCACAGAGACGTCAAGCCCCAAAACTTGCTGGTGGACTACAGAACCCATGTCCTCAAGCTCTGCGACTTCGGATCCGCCAAGAGACTCGTCCCCGCTGCTGCTGCTGCTGCTGCTGCCGCTGCTGCTGCTGCTGCTGCTGTTGCTGCTGCTGCTGCTGCTGCTGCTGCTGCTGCTGCTGCAGGGTGCGTGTTGGGGGAGTTGCTGCTGGGTCGTCCGCTGTTTGCGGGGGAAACGAGTGTGGATCAAGTTGGTGAAAATAATTCAAATTTTGGGAACTCCAACTCAAGGCCAAATGTCGGCGATGAATCCGAACTATGACGAATTCAAGTTTCCCGACGTGGAGGCCCGCGACTGGCACTCCGTGAGCTTTTCTTTTCTTTTTTTCGAATTTCTTCCAAACTTTTTATGTTTTTATTTCCTTTTTTGTTTATTTTCGCTTTTTAAATCTTTTTAAGGCCCCCACGAGCCTCCGCCTCCGCGGATCGCCTCCGTTCAACTTCCGATGCGCAGCCTGGAAGGGTTTTGCTGCTGGTGAATTGACTCGAAGGAGCTGCAGCAGCAGCAGCAGCAGCAGCTGCTGCTGCTGCTGCTGCAGGAGCAGCTGCAGCAGCAGATGCGGCGTTTCAAGTTGTTGAGGAGATGCAGGACATCGGGAGCTGTGTTCAGTGGCAGCAGCAGCAACTGGATGTGGTGTTTGCATTTCGTGAATAAAAGAATAATAATTTGTTTATTTTAATGAAATAATTTGTTTATTTTAATAAAATAATTTTATTTCAATAAAATAATTTGTTTATTCGCCGAATAAAAGAAAAGTATTTGAAAGAAAGTGAATTCGAGAGGAATGCGTGAAGATAGGCGTGTGGCGTGCTGCAGTGCAGCTAATTTTTTCGCGTTTTTTTCGCTTTTAAGGTTAAAAATGGAAATAAAAGCGAAATAAAACAAAATAAAAGCAAAATAAAACAAAATAAAAGAAAATAAAAGAGCAAATTTGCGAAAAAGGCGCTGAAAAGCTGCGTTTTTGCAGGTTTTCGCGGCGCACCAGTGCGCGAACGACGGCGACAAGTCCTTCGAACAAGCCGTGGACCTTATGAGCAAACTGCTGCGCTACGAGCCCAACCAGCGGCTGCAGCCGCTGGAGGCCCTCGCCCACGAGTTCTTCGACGAACTCCGAAACCCCAAAACCACGTGAGAGCAGCAGCAGCAGCAGCAGCAGCAGCAGCAGCAGCAGTTGGTGCTGCTGTTGCAGCAGCGGCAGTGGCGCTGCAGCAGCAGCTGCAGTTGGTGCGGCAGCAGCAGCTGCAGTTGTTGCGGCAGCAGCAGCTGCAGTTGTTGCTGCAGTTGTTGCTGCAGCAGCAACAGCTGCAGCAACAGTTGCAACAACAGCTGCAGCAGTAGCTGCAGCAATAGCTGCTGCAGCAGCAGCAGCAGCAGCAGGGATTTAGCTCGTTGTGTGTTTGTTTGCAAGTCTGCGTTTTGCTTCGGTCGTTTGCTGCTGCGGGTGCTGTCGTGTTTGGGGTGTACGTACACTCGGGGGAACTTGGGACATGCCTCGCCTGAAGCCGCCGCTGCTGCTGCTGCTGCTGCTGCTGCTGCTGCTGCTGCTGCTGCTGCGGTGCAGACTGCCGGGGGGCGGCGCGCTGCCGGAGTTGTTTAGTTTTTTGCCAATTGAACTCGAAAGCATGTCTCCAGGGACGAGGGAAAAGTGTTTAGCTGCTGCAGCAACGAAGCAGCGGCCTGCGTAGCTGCGCGTTATTCGGGTGTACAGACACCGCAGGGGGCTGCTGCAGCATTTGCGTTTCATTTTATTTGTTCCGCCGCGCACTGAGGCGCTCGCTGGAAGCAAGGGAGCCGCACTCGCCTTGCTGCTGCAGCAGCAGCAGCAGCTGCAGCAGCAGCAGCTGCAGCAGCAGTGGCGGCAGCAGCGGCAGCGGCAGCAGCTGCAGCGGCAGCTGCTGCAGCAGCAGCAGCAGCAGCGGCGGCAGCGGCAGCAGCGGCAGCAGCTGCTGCAGCAGCAGCAGCAGCAGCAGCTGCTGCTGCTGCTGCTGCTGCTGCGGGGAGTTGAGGAGGTTGGAGTCCTTGTCAAGACGGAAAGTTGAAATGATTGGATAATTAACTTTGAAAGGGAAGGCTTTGCTGCTGCCTTGGGCGTGTCAGGGCTGCTGCGCGGCGGCGCAGGCATTTATGCATTTATAAATGTATTTATGTGCAAAACCCTGGAAATAAAAGAAAAAAAGAAATAAAGAAATAAAAGAAAAGAAAATAAAAGTGAATAAGTGAATATGTTCACAGATTCGCCGCTGACTGGTTGCAGGCGGTCCATACACCGCAGCGTTCGGATCCAAGTGGTTTGCGGCGGCAGCTGTCGAGACACCCCAGGAGGCACTCTTGTGTTCCAACAAAACCAAATGCAAGTAAATATATTTATAAATGTTATAAATGTGAAAACAACCTATGTGAGGCATTTGATCGGTGGTCGCCGCTCTTGTTCAGTTCAGGTGCTGCTGCGCCGCAGCAGCAGCCGCAGCAGCAGCAGCAGCAGCAGCTGCTGCGGCGCCGCTGCAGCAGCAGCGGCAGCAGCAGCTGCTGCGGCGCCACGGCAGCAGCGGCGGCAGCGGCTGCTGCGGCGCCGCTGCAGCAGCGGCGGCAGCGGCTGCTGCGGCGCCGCTGCAGCAGCAGCTGCTGCTGCTGCAGCAGCAGCAGCTGCTGCTGCTGCCGCTGCTGCTGCAGCAGCAGCTGCAGCGAGACTCCTCTCCACTTGAAGGGATTGCTGCGCCGCAAGGGGGGCCTCAAAAGGTTAAGTTGCTGCTAATGGTATTTCTTTTGTCTTTTGTCCTTTTGGTCTTTTGCTTCGCGCTGCTGCTGCTGCTGCTGCTGCGGCGGGGCCGAGGGAGGTTTGCTGTTTTCAAACGGCCAAGGTATTGACTTTACGGAGCGGAAGCACTGCAGCAGCAGCAGCAGCTGCCCTCTGCTGCAGCAGCAGCAGCAGCAGCAGCAGCAGCAGCAGCAGCGGCTCGCTGTGCTTAACGACTCGCGCCACAGCGGGAATTCAGCTTGCGGCTAAGGAAAACCAACTCAAATCTTTACATTTTAGTGGCCTTCAAACACACAGCTAGCTAGCTAGCTAGCTAGCCAGCTAGCTAGCTAACCAGCCAGCTAGCTAGTTTGCCTCTACCACCTAGCAGCTTGCGTTGAGGGACAAAACTTTACGTGTTTGCTGCTGCTGCTGGGGAAGCAAAAAGCCGGGGAGTTCTTGTCTTGTTATTTGCGTCTCGGGCGTCTGTACAGCCGAGCAGCAACAGCAGCAAGAGCAGCAATCAGCAGCAGCAGCAGCAGCCACCACCAGTTGGCAGCTGCGGCCCGAAGTTAGCAGCAAATTAGAAACGCAGCAGCAGCTAATTTGCTGCTGCTGGTCTGTTGCTGCTGCTGCTGCGCTGCAGCAAAAGCCCCGTACCTGGGCGGACTACTGTGCACAAGTGGCGCTGAAAACCTGCAGCAAAAAGGCACAAAATTCATCAAGCAGCAGCAGCAGCAGCAGCAGCAGCAGCAGCAGCAGCAGCAGCAAGAAAGGCAGCAGAGGCACGAATGGCAGCAGCAAGTGGAGCTAGTTTGCCTCTACCACCTAGCAGCTTGCGTTGAGGGACAAAACTTTACGTGTTTGCTGCTGCTGCTGGGGAAGCAAAAAGCCGGGGAGTTCTTGTCTTGTTATTTGCGTCTCGGGCGTCTGTACAGCCGAGCAGCAACAGCAGCAAGAGCAGCAATCAGCAGCAGCAGCAGCAGCCACCACCAGTTGGCAGCTGCGGCCCGAAGTTAGCAGCAAATTAGAAACGCAGCAGCAGCTAATTTGCTGCTGCTGGTCTGTTGCTGCTGCTGCTGCGCTGCAGCAAAAGCCCCGTACCTGGGCGGACTACTGTGCACAAGTGGCGCTGAAAACCTGCAGCAAAAAGGCACAAAATTCATCAAGCAGCAGCAGCAGCAGCAGCAGCAGCAGCAGCAGCAGCAGCAGCAGCAAGAAAGGCAGCAGAGGCACGAATGGCAGCAGCAAGTGCGGCCGCAAAAAGAATAATATTAATGGCATTAAAGGCATTAGTGGCACTTGGAGCAGCAGCTAAGTGCTGAGAACAGCTGCAGCAGCAGCAGCAGCAGCAGCAGCTTTGCTCACCGAGCTCGCAGGCGTTCGGCGTGAGTCTGCAGCAGCAGCAGCAGCAGCAGCAGCAGCAGCAGCAGCAGCGAGGGTGCGCAGCAAACGGGATTTGGCAGCAAAGTGAGTGGTTTGAAGAAGACCGGAGGAACTCACAAGTTGAGCTGCAGCAGCAAAAAGAAAAAAAAATCTTTAAAGTCTTTTTTGTTTTTGCTTTTGCTGCTGCTCACCTGCTCCTGGACAATGGACCCTGAGTGGTCCACTGGACTTTAAAAAAGAAAAAAGAAAAAAAAAGAAAAAAGAAAAAAGAAAAAAGAAAAAAAAGAAAAAAGAAAAAGAAATTCTTACCTGGCAAGAAGGCGCTGCTGCTGCAGCGCTGCTGCCTGCAGCTGCTCCAGCAGCTGCAGCCTTCGCCGCAGACTGCTGCAGCAAGGTCTTCGCACAGCGGGTGGCCTGGTCCACTGAGTGGTCCACTGGTCACTGCAGCAGCAGCAGCAAAGTCCGCAGCTCACCGCCCGCGCTGCTGAGGCCTGCGGAGCAGCTCACGCGCCCAGAGCCCTCCCCGCTGCAGCCTGCGGCTGGGCTTGGCTTTTGCTGCAGCAGCAGCAGCAGCAGCAGCCTACCGGCAGTGAACGCCTCCGCCTGCAGCAGCAGCAGCAGCAGCAGCAGCAGCAGCAGCAGCAATGACTTCCGCAAATGCATGCAAGCAGCAAACAAAAGAACCTCAAAGTCCGCTATCAGCCGCAGCCCCGGAAAAGCAGCTTCAGAGCCGCAAGAGCCGGCGCAGTCCTGCGGGGGCGCTGCAGATCGCAGCAAAAGAGAACTTGAATTTGCACTCACTGACAAGCAGGAGTCGCCTGGGGGAATCCGCGGTTTCCGAGTTGCGCAGAGGCGAAATTAAATAAATAAAATGCAAACTGAGACAAATAAAAACGAGATCGCCCACCGATGTGCACAGATCCTGGCTCTAAAGCTGCACAAGGCACCAGAGGCTTCGGCGGAGCCTCCGCCGCCGCCTCCACTTTTTGCCCGCCAGGGCCCGCCTTGTTCATGTTTTCCGAGGCCAAAAACAACTTAAAGTTAATTCAATTGCTGCCGGAAAAAGTGCCGTTCATTTAAATGAGAAATGGCGAAGAAATGCAACATTTGCAAAAGCTGCACTCTGCGGTGTCTGCGCATACACCTCAGATGCGCGGGCGCCTGACCGCCCGCCGCAGCTTCACTTTCGTTTCTTTCAGGTTTCTTGTGCTAAAACGCCACTTAAGAACTATTAATTGCTGCAGCTTTTCAATTGCAGTGTTTTCAATTAAGTGTTTTCAATTAAAAATCCAAAGTTCGACGTTTCTGCAACTATAAAAAATGAAGCGGCTGTGCGCCTGCGAAGTTTCTGAACTCCTCAAGTGGGTCCGCCTGCTGCAGCAGGCCCCTCCCAACTCTACAAATATTAGCCAAGAAAAGCTGCATTTTGAATTTGCCAGCAGCTGCGGTGCCTAATTAGCTTCAAATTCGGAAGAAACCCCCAAAATCAGGGTTTCGGAGATTCAAGTTCTGCTGCTGCTGCTGCTGCTGCTGCTGCTGCCTTCCCGCGCCTCTTCTGCGCGCGCCGACGAGCGTCAAGAAACCACATGTATTCCTCGTAGCTTTGCGGATAAACTTGAAGATCTTCGGGAGGCAAATCGCGCAGTCTTTCACTCTGCAAGAAGCAGCCGCAGCAGCAGCAGCAGCACAGCAGCTGCAGCGCAGCAGCAGCTGCAACGGCGCGGCTGCAGCGCAGCAGCAGCGGCTAGCTGCTGCTTGGCAGCAACAGCTGCAGCACAGCAGCAGCCAGCCTCTGCTGCAGCGGCGCAGCACCGCGGAGCAGCAAAGAAGGCGCAAAAGGCTGCGGGAACTCTCAGCAGCAGCAGCAGCAGCAGCAGCAGCAGCAGCAGCAGCAGCAGCAGCACAGAGCCGCACCTGTCTGTAGTAAAAGACCATTCGGTTGGTTCTTTTCAGCGGCAAGCCCACGGAGCTGCTCGAGGCCTCAACCTGGAGGGAAGCAGCAAATGAAAAAAAAAGAAATGAAAAGATTCGAAAAGTTCAGCTAGGGTTTAGGCCCTAGGGTTTTGAAACCCTAAATTAGGGTTTAGGGTTTGGCCACCTGGATTTGAATTTCGTCTTCGTCGCTCCAAACCACGCTGGCCGTCAGCTTCAAAATGTCTCCTTGCTTCACAGCGTCAAAGAAACGGATGTCTTCCATTCCTGCAGCAGCAGCAGCAGCAGCAGCAGAAACAGCAGCAGCAGCAGCAGCAGCAGAAACAGCAGCAGCAGCAGCAGCAGCAGCAGTGGGGGAAGGAAAAGGCTTTTGAACTGAAGAGTAATAAACTCTAAAGAGAAGAAGGCCAAGGAAGCCGCTTTGCAATATAATCGAAAGTTCAATTATTAAAATTAAATTAAATTAAATTAAATTAAATTAAATTAAATAAAATAAATTAAATAATTAAAACTCCACTTAAACATTTAAAAATATTTAAACAAAATGCTGCAGGGCCTCAGCTGGCTTCAAACGACGCAAGATGCATGCACTCCAGCACCAGGGCCCAAACCCTAAACCCCAAACCCTAAACCCTAAACCCCAACCCTAAACCCTAAACCCCAACCCTAAACCCTAAACCCCAACCCTAAACCCCAAACCCGAACCCTAGACCCAAACCCTAGCCGCAGCCGCAACCCCCAAACCCCAAACCCCAAACCCTAAACCCTAAACCCTAAACCCTAAACCCTCGGACCTGCGATGACGGGGTAGCTGGCGTTGAGGAACCTCTGCGCGGTGAGGAAAGAAAGCTCCAAAGCCGAGCGCATTATAAAACCCCCAAAAGCCCTTCCATAAACACTAATGGTTTCCGGTTGCATCAAAATGTTGCTTTCCAGCTTCGTGTCTTTTATCCAACAAGTATCTTTCCTCCCTCCGGGGGCCCCGGGGGCCCCCCGGGGGCCCCCCTGGGGGCCCCCCTGGGGGCCCCCGGGGTCCTGCTGCAGGCAGCTAGCCAAGTCTTGTGGAGGAACTCCGTTTCCTCTGCGTCGGGGCCCCTGAGGGCTGCGTCTCTGTGAGCAGCAGCGCGGCGCTGCTGCTGGCGAGCTGCTGCTGCCAGCAAGTGCTGCGCTGCTGCTGCGTCTGCTGCTGCTGCTGCTGCTGCAGCAGACTGCAGCGGCGGGAGGGGCCCCCGGGGCCGGCCGTCGGGGCCCACGTGTACGAACACCAGGCAGGCCGAGCCAATGCATGCGCCGTCCTGTGGCAGTGGCAGATTGCATGCATTTGGGGCTTTTTTTCGGAAAAAAGGAAATTAAAAAAAGAACTTTTAAATTAATTTATTTATAATTTAATTCTAAATTCAATTTGCTCCAGTTTGATCCACTTTGCGCCAGATCCGCAAGCCTCAGCAGCCAACCTGCTGCAGCAGCGAGGCTGCTGCTGCTGCTGCTGCTGCTGCTGCAGCAGCGAGGCTGCTGCTGCTGCTGCCGCTAATGCCGCTGCCGCTGCCGCCGCTGCCACTGCCGCTGCAGCAAATGTCGCTCCCGCTGCTGCTGCCGCCGCTGCTGCTGCTGCTAATACCGCTGCTGCTGCCGCTGCTGCTGCTGCTGCTGCTGCTGCTGCTGCTGCTGCTGAAGAGGCGGATGGAGTCGATGGAGACAGTCAGAAACAAGTGCTGCTTGTCAGGAGTCAGTTCAAACAAAGGCCGGCAAAAAGCAAAAGCAACATCAGCAGCAAAACAGTCCAGCACTTCCAGCAGCCGCCCGCTGCGCAGCGCAGCAGCAACAGAGGCTTGCCGGAACACGCTCCGCAGCCGCTCCACCCCCCTGCTGCTGCTGCTGCTGCTGCTGCTGCTGCTGCTGCTGCTGCCGCTGCTGCTGCTGCCGCTGCTGCTGCCGCTGCCGCTGCCGCTGCTGCTGCTGCTGCTGCTGCTGCTGCTGCTGCCGCCGAGCAGCAGCAGCAGCTCGCGCCAGGCGTAGCCCACTGGCCGGGGGGTGTGGGGCCCCAGCAGCGGCAGCAGCAAACCGCGGGCCCGGAGGCAGCAAAGATCTATTCCTGTCTTCTCAGCTAGCCAAGCCACCATTCGCATTTCTTCTCGGATTGAAAGCTCCCGCAGCTGCCCCGCAGGCACTGGCAGGCAGCAGCAGGAAGCTCCTGCTGCTGCTGCTGCTGCTGCTGCTGCTGCTGCTGCGGGCGGCGGCGGCGCTGCTGCTGCTGCTGCGGGGGCGGAGGGCGGTGTTGCTGCTGGGCACGCTGCAGCGGGAGCTGCTGCTGCTGCTGCTGGGGGCGCTGAGGCTGGGGACGCTGCGGGAGAAGCTGCTGCTGCTGCTGCTGCTGCTGCTGCAGTGCGCTCTGCTGCTGCTGCTGCTGCAGCGTCTGCGGGGGGCGCGCTGGAGAAGGCCCGCGACGGAGAAGCTGGGCAAGGAAGGGGGGAGCAGCAAAAGCGGAAGAGTGCAGCAAAATGAGGGGGGGGGGCCCCCAGCTGGGGGCCCCTGGGGGCCCCCAGGCAGCCCTGGGGGGCCCCCCGAAGAAGAGACCCGCGGGGGGCCCCCCTGGGACCCCCTCTGCTGTACCCTAAGGGGAGGCCCGGGGGCCCCCCCTGCGCCAGGCAGCGCCAGGCCGCCCGCCACATTGCTCAAACCACAAACTGCTGCTGCTGCTGCTGCTGCTGCTGCTGCTGCTGCTGCTGCTGGGACAAATGGGCATGCAGCAGCAAAGGCAGTGGCCGCTGGAGGGCGCTTCAAAGGCCCCGCGGAAGCGGCTCGAAATGACTGCTGCAGAGGCTGAGCAGCAGCAGCAGTGTGTGCAGCAGCAGCAGCTGTGTATGCAGCAGCAGCAGCTGTGTATGCAGCAGCAGCAGCTGTGTATGCTGCAGCAGCAGCTGTTTAGGCAGCAGCAGCGGCTGTTAAGGCCGCAGCAACAGCTGTGTAGACAGCAGCAGCAGCTGCTCGGGCAGCAGCAGCAGCTGCTGCAGCAGCAGCAGCAGCAGCAGCAGCACACACACGGCGGGCGGCGCTGCCCCCCAGCAGCGGCGCTTTGGAGCCGCTGCAGTCAAACGAATTCGCAAATTTGAAATAAAATGAAAAAAATTTGAAGTCCGAGCCGCTGGGAGGCGGCGAAGGGGGCGGGAGGCTGCGGGCGTTGCTGCTTTCGCCCGCCTTCGGGGCGGAAGCGGGAAGCCGCTGCTGCTGCTGCTGCTGCTGCTGCTGCTGCTGCTGCTGCTGCTGCTGCTGCTGCTGCTGCGCTGCGTTCATTATTTCCCGCAAGAGCTGCTGAAAGCTCTTTGGCAAATCTGGGGAGGGAATTTGGCGGCGGCGGCTGCGCGCGTTCTGGGGTGTACGTACACCCCAGGGAACTGGCGGGCTGCAGCCGCGCTGCGGAGGCCGCAGCCACGCGCCCGCCGCATGCAATGTCTTTGTCGAAGCGGCTCCAAATGGAGTTTAATTCCGTTCAAATGGAATTAAAAGTGTTTGAAGTTGTGGGTCTGTTTGCGTCCCGTTGGAAGCGGAGGGTTGCGGTGTACGTACACCTCAGCCGCGCGGTCTGCCGAGATCAGCAATTCAACTTCGGCGAATCGAAGCGACAGCGGCCGCTGCGCGTTCTTCTTTGTCGTTTTGCAAAACACTTTAATTAATTTAAATGTTAATTAATTAATAATTGATTTGAAGTCCTTTAGTTAGCATTCGACTCAGCTGGAGGCCGCGGCGTTTGCACATGCGCTTCTGCCTGGCCCGGGCGCGCGCCGTTTCCACTTGGGAAAACTTGAACTCCGGCTCTCTTTTGGCTGCCGCGGACCCTCTTAGACCATTTAAAAAGTCGCAAATTCAATTTAAAAGACATTTAAGTTTTAATTTCTTCTTTTCGCCGCCAAAAACGCCCGAAAAAGCCGCGACTTTCCGCTGCTGCAGCGCCGCAAGACCCCCCCAGTTCCGGTGTCCAGCCGCTTCGCCGCGTCCCAAGATGTCGCCTGCTGCTGCTGCTGCTGCAGCAGCTCCTGCTGCTGCAGCTCCGAAGAAGCGTGAGTGCTGCTGCTGCTGCTGCTGCTGCTGCTTTGCTGCTGGGGAGCCGCAGCTGCTTCTCTTTGCTGCTGCTGGCTGCTGCTGCTGCAGCTCCGAAGAAGCGTGAGTGCTGCTGCTGCTGCTGCTGCTGCTTTGCTGCTGGGGAGCCGCAGCTGCTTCCCTTTGCTGCTGCTGGCTGCTGCTGCTGCTGCCTTTGCGGCTGCCTCGCACCAGCTGGCCCCGCTTCTCGGGTGTACGTACACCGCAGAACTCGCCATGCCAATGCCCCCCACCTTCGACCCCTTTTACGTCGAAAGCGGCTGGATGGACTGGTGGCTTTCCCAGGGCTACTTCTTGCCTGCTGACGCGACGCAGCGGCAGGCAGCAGCAGCAGCAGCAGCAGCAGCAAACCAGAAGTTCGTTATGGTAATTCCCCCCCCCAATGTCACTGGCTCTTTGCATATTGGCCACGCCTTGACTGTGGCCATAGAGGACTCTTTGGCCCGCTGGCAAGTTTGTTTTATTTAATTTATTTAATTTATTTAATTTAATTAATTTAATTAATTTAATTCATTTAATTTAATTCATTTAATTTAATTTAATTAATTTAATTCATTTAATTTAATTTAGTTCATTTAATTTAACTTAGTTTATTTAATTTAATTCGTTTGATTCAATTCATTTAATTGAATTTAATTCATTTAATTGGATTCGATTCATTTGATTTGATTTAATCCACTTAATTTAATTCATTTAATTTGATTCATTTAGTTTGATTTAATTCATTTAATTTAATTCATTTAAGTTGATTTAATTCATTTAATTTGGTTTAATTCATTTAATTTGATTTAATTCATTTAATTTGATTTAATTCATTTGATTTAATTCAATTCATTTAATTTCGTTTAGTTTGATTTAATTTAATTCAATTCTCTCTTTTGTTTCCAGCTTATTGGAGTGTACGTACACCTGAACCAATCGGCGCCCATTTTTGATTTTCGATTTTTATTTTTCTTTTGAGGTGTACATACACCTGGAGGGCGGGCCAACTCTGTTTTCATTTTGTTTTATTTTCATTTTTTTTGTCTTTTAAAGGAGTTTAAAGGTTTGATTTAAATGCTTTTATTTTCTTCAAAAGATGTTCATTTTAAATCCCACAGTTTAATCTCTTCTACATGCTCTTAACCCCAAACCCTAAACCCTTAACCCCAAACCCTAAACCCTAAACCCTAAACCCTAAACCCTAGCCTGGACCTATGGCCTGCATTTGTGCCCCTCAGGGGCCCTCGAACTGCAAATTAGTTTATCGAATTAATTATTTTCAAATTAACATTTATTTACTTATTTATTTATTTATTTATTTATTTATTTATTTATTTATTATTTATTATTTATTTATTTATTTATTTATTTATTTATTTATTTATTTATTATTTATTTATTTATTTATTTATTTATTTATTTATTTATTTATTTATTTATTTATTTATTTGCAGGAATCGAATGCGGGGCAAAATCGTGCTGTGGGTCCCCGGGGTGGACCACGCGGGTGAGCAGCAGCTTTTTGAATTTTTGGATTTTCAAATTTATTTAAGTTTATTTTTAATTTATTTTTAATTTGTTTTTAATTTCTTTTTAATTTGTTTTTAATTTCTTTTTAATTTGTTTTTAATTTCTTTTTAATTTGTTTTTAATTTATTTTTAATTTCTCTTTAATTTCGTTTTAATTTCTTTTTAATTTCGTTGTTTTTAAGTTGTTCTGTTTTTAATTTGTTTTATCTTTTGTTGCATTTAAATGCTCTTTAAAAATCTCTTTTTTCTAAATGCGGCCTTTGCCTCTCTGTTGCTTGGCTGTGGCTTCTAGGGTTTAGGGTTTAGGGTTTAGGGTTTAGGGTTTACAGTGGGCCCTTAGTTTTTAATTAATTAATTAATTAATTTAAAGTGAATAATAAATAACCGAAAATGGAAGAAGTGCAATTGGGGTCAGTCTCTGCAACTGGCGAAGAACATGAAGTAATCAACTAAGAATAAATAAACAATGAACAATTAAATAATAATAACAAAATAAATAATAGTAAATAAATAAATAAATAAATAAATAAATAAATAAATAAATAAAACAATTAATGTTCTGCTTTCTTTTGAGTCGCCGTCGGCGCTGTCGCGCTGTACGTACACCCGAAACCTGGGGAGCGGGAAAGCGCTAAAACGGCGGAAAAAAGCGAAAAAAAGGCGAAAAAAAGCCAAATAAAAACCAAATAATAAATAAAGAATAAATAAAGAACAAATAAAGAACAAATAAAGAATAAATAAACGAAAAATAAACGAAAATGGGGAAAAAAGGGGCAAACGGAAGCGAGTCGGGCGGTGCGCAGGCATCGCCACGCAGTCCGTGGTGGAGCGCCAGCTGCTCAAAGAAGAAAATAAATCTCGACATGATTTGGGAAGAAAAGCTTTCGAAGAAAAAGTCTGGAAGTGGAAGGAGCAGTACGGAAACAGAATCACCGACCAACTCAGGTGCGAACGCCCACACAGCTAGCTAGCTAGCTAGCTAGCTGGCTAGCTGGCTGGCTAGCTGGCTGGCTAGCTGGCTAGCTAGCTAGCTAGCCAGTGATGCGCCTAGTTAGCTAGCTAGCTAGTTAGCTGGCTGGCTGGACAAGTAGCTGCCTAGCTACCTTCCTGGGTAGCTAGCTAGCTAGCTGGCTTGGCTAGACAGGCAGCTACTTGGCTAGCCAGCTAGCTGGCTAGCCAGCTAGCTAGCTGGCTAGCCAAGCAGCTGCCCAGATAGCTGCCCAGTTACCTGCCCAGCTAGCTAGCTAGCTAGCTGCCCAGCTAGCCAGCCTGCTGCCCAGCAAAAATGAACTAAAAATGGACTCAAAATGACCTCCAAATGAACTCCAAATGAACTCCAAATAAACTCAAAATGGACTAAAAAGACGAACTAAAAATGAACTAAAAATGGACTTCAAATGGACTTAAAAAGGACTCCAAATGGACTCCAAAAGGACTCCAAATGGACTCCAAAAGGACTCCAAATGGACTTAAAAAGGACTCAAAATGAACTAAAAATGAACTCAAAATGAAGAAAAAGTTGAATTATTTTTCTTTTTTTGCTGCAGAAGAGTTGGCTGCAGCGTTTCTTGGGACCACTTTTGCTTTACCCTCGACAGCAAATTGTCCGCCGCTGTTGTCGAGGCTTTTGTGCGGCTTTTCAACCGCGGGCTCATTTACCGCGAAAAGAGGTAAATTAAATTAAATTAATTTAATTAATTAAATTAATTAATTAATTTAATTAATTAATTAATTTAATTAATTAATTAATTAATTAATTTATTTAATTTGGTTTGTTTTGTTTAGTTTAGTTGGAAAGGGCGTGCGCAGTTTAGTCCGGGTCCCAAACCACGCCAGTGGAGGGCTGGAGAGTTGCGCTTCGACGCAAACCCTAAACCCTAAACCCTAAACCCTAAACCCTCATGACCCTAAACCCTAGGCCCTAAACCCTGGGTTAAAAGTAGAAATAATGAAGCGGAATGAGCTCAAGTGGAGTGTTGGGGAGCTGCTCTTCAACACAAACCCTAAACCCTAAACCCTCCTAAACCCTAAACCCTAAACCCTAAACCCTAGGTTTGAAGTAGAAGGAATGAACCAGAATTAGCTCGAATGGAGATCTGGAGAGTTGCTCTTCAACACAAGCCCTAAACCCTAAACCCTCACTGTTTATTTATTTATCAATTCTTGAATTAATCAATTAATTAATTAATTAATTAATTAATTAATTATATTATTTATTTTTTTATTTCTTTTTATTTATTCCCAGCCATTCTCCACAGCAACAATCCAGAGAGTTGAACCTACCATTCCTTTACCATTAATTAACCACTCAATTAATTATTATTCTTTTATCTATTTATTTATTTATTTATTTATTTATTTATTTATTTGTTTATTTATTTATTTATTTATTTATTTATTTATTTATTTATTTATTTATTTATTTATTTATTTTGATTAGTTTCTTGGTCTTCTTTTTTGAAGACGGCGCTGAGCGACATCGAAGTGGACACCGAGACCATTGAGAAGCCCCAGACAGTTCGCATTCCAGGTGGAGTTTTATTTTATTTTTTATTTTATTTTATTTAATTATTTTAATTGTTTTAATTATTTTAATTATTTTAATTCATTTAATTCATTTAATTTATTTAATTCAATTAATTTGATTTGAATTTGACTCTAATTTGATTCGAATTCATTTTAATTTGATTGAACAGCCCCAGACAGTTCGCATTCCAGGCGGAGTTTTCATTTTATTTTATTTTATTTTATTTCGTTTTATTTCATTTATTTAACTCTTTTAACTGTTTTAATTCATTTAATTCATTTAATTCATTTAATTCATTTAATTCAATTAATTTATTTAATCCATTTAATTCATTTAATTCATTAATTCATTTTATTTGATTTTAATTATTATTATTATGTTCATCATTAGCTTTGGATTTATTTTCTCAAGACAGCTGCTGCTGCAGTTTCTGGCTGGAGCCAAAAGTGGCAAACAAAACTTAATTTTAATTTTGAATTTAAACTTCTGGCTGGAGTCAGAATAAAATAAAAACAAAAATTAAATTAAATTTTAAATTTAAATTCAAATTTAAATTTAAAATAAAATAAAATAAAATAAAATAAAACAAAAACAAAACAGTTTCCACTTCCAGTTCAGCTTTCTGAACTTGTTTTTTGCGCAGAAGTCGAATTTGGGGTCCATTTTTCCGGATTTTTCGACTTTTAAGGCTCAAATAAAGTGAATTTAAGAAATAAAATCAATTTAATTGTTTATTTCCGCTTTTTAGGCTTCGAATTTCCCGTCGAAGTCGGTTTTTTGTGGCATTTCGTCTACAAAGTCGAAGGCGGCGGCGAAGTCGAAGTCGCCACCACCCGCATCGAGACCATGCTCGGCGACGTCGCGGTGGCTGTACACCCCAGCGACACCCGCTACCAGGCGAGGCCTTTATTATTTATTTATTTATTTATTTATTTATTTATTTAATTAATTTATTTATTTATTATTATTTATTATTTATTTGTTTTTTATTTATTGTCTGCTCCTGCGGCTGCTGCACGCCATCTGCTCCTGCTGCTGCTGCACGCCATCTGCTGCTGCTGCTGCTGCTGCACGCCATCTGCTGCTGCTGCTGCTGCTGCTGCTGCGTGGTCAGTGTGTTTGCCTCGCTGCTGCTGCTGCTGCTGCTGCTGCTGCTGCTGCTGCTGCAGCACCTGGTGG